GCCATGGGTCCAGAGCTGCACTGAGCTATTGAAAGAAGTGGGGCAATCCATTCCTAACGTCCAGATGCACTGAATGTAGGATATACTTTTGTCTTCAGTTTAATCAAAAAAAGCTACAACAAGAAATGCAGCGCTATCCTGAGACACAGAACACCAACTCTGAAGCCATTCCCAAGATACAGTGATCAGTGCTTGGACTGCCAGACAGGCTCTATAACACAGGATAGATATTCTGCACCACATGGTCAATTCTTGCATTCTGAATGGTAACAATGGTAGTAAGCTTCCCAGGGATTTTTTGTTTGTTTTGTTTGCTTTTTTTTTTCAGGAACTAGGTTCTTTCCTGGATATGTAACAGTAACACAGTCTCCCTCCCATCCAGATAAACTGTGTGGGCACCACTGGTCTGAGCCAGATGTGTCCAAGCTGGCAGTCCATTAAATGTAGCGCCTTTGCACACGGATTTCACATTATGCTGATGCAGCCAACAGGATCAAATACACACAATGCCAATTTTCTTTGCATCTGAATAGGCACTGGGACCATAAAGATCTCCAAAACAACAGTTTACTCAAGGTATCTAAAACCCTTAGCATGGCTCTGAGATTTTTTTTCAACAGGACATCTTCAACTGCTTATAAACAAATTAATTTCCAATCTGCTCTATTTCCTCCTCTTAGTCTTTTTTTCTCAGAATATGCTTTCAACTGTTAAACCATCCAAGCAGAATAAAATATGTTCAGGCATCAAAATGACTAATAGCCCCTCTAAAAACAAATCTGGAAATCTGAACTAGTGTGTACTGCACACATTTTTTTTTCACATTAAAAAAAAAAAAAAGGCTCTAATTCAGAAAAATGCTCTATTTCCATTTTTCATTTATGCAAATTACACTGAATAAATAAATCTACATAATCTCACCTCCCTGCTAGACAACTTGCAGTAACATTTGTCAAAAGAAAGACAGGCTTTTCTGATACTAATGCATAAAACATGCCGAATAAAAAAATTAAAACAAATTATATTGAGTAAATAGCTGCTGTGCAGCTCTGGAAAGAATAATAGGACTGTTCAGTTATTTCAAACATGCTAATAATTAATGGTATATTCAAGTTAAGGTTTTAATAGAAACGGTCATATCCCAAACCACTGAAATCAATCTCCATGGAACAGGTGTTTAGACCTCTCTGATGAAGCATTCAACAGTGTCAGGCTGTTGGTCCTGGAAGATCAATCTATTCAGCATGCGGCTGATGTACTGCGCTGGGGCTGCAGCTCCAGAAAAGCAGATCTCTTATGTTGTTTTGGTAATGTAGGAAGTGCCTTCTCCAATTTGATCAAAACCTCGCTTTGTTGTCCTCTGTCCATGTAAGATACAGCACTGGTGATTGTAAAGATTGCCACTGGTCTTGGGACTGCAACAGGGGAAGGATAAACTGAAATCAACAGCAGTATCTTCTGATTAGGTATCAGTGGCCTTTTCCCACTCTGACTGGATATGGTAGATGCTGAATGGCAACTCTTTGTCTTGATGGTCCATCTGGAAACTAGCAAACCCCAATCGTACTTGGACACTCTCCAGTCACCTTTCAAATATCTTTTCACACTGGAAATCTGTTCTGGACAGCTGAATCCTTATGCTCTTTTCTCTATAGAAAGAAGACTGGTCAATGGGGTCCACCAAAAGGCACCACCAAATTTTTAGATGCTGTGATGCCTCGTACACTTTGAAGATGTCTTTTCTCAGAGAAGAAAGTTCCTTGCATGCTTCCTGGGGGCAGTAAGGTACAGGATATATGAAGCCTACAGACTGAGTAAAAAGCTACCTAAGAATACCAGTAAGAAATCTGAAGAAAATATGATTTAAGAACATGTCTCTGCTAAGGCAGTCACAAGACTGGCAGTAAAACCAGTGTTTTCTAACAACTACCTGGAGGAGGAGAAGTTCTTTCTACTCATTTACCATGTAGTCTATGGTTAAGAGCATACACCTGGGATATGTTATATCACCAACACCAACCAACTGCAAGGATAATTTCTCTTTTATAGACTATTTGGTGTTCTGACTGAGTTATTTACCCACCAAATCTGCTCTACTATGAATGAAAATACCACCAGGCAACTCTTCCTGCAAATTCTAGCAGGCTGGCTTGGAGAATTCCTCACAGATCAGGTCCTTCAGACAATGTAGGATGGGCATACCTTGATGTGAGAAACATGGCATGGCAAATACCTCTGTACTTGGAGACCTTACTAGCAGTGAGCTAAAGGGGCTGGAGAATCACAATGAAGTCTCTATCCATCCAGGAGATTACTGCTAGAAAGGCTGGATAAGGTAACGTGAATTTCAGCCTTCCCAAACCTGTTGTATTGGATTTAAACCAATGTATTAAAAGTTTTTATTTTTAAATCCATTATTTTAAAACAATCTTACAAGTAAAATAGGTAAATCTGAAATAATTTTTGTTCATATTTTCAGGCTCATTTCTAACTGCTTGGGCTACAAGCTTATTTTTCTCCTTTTTAAACAAGAGATAAGCTCCTTAATTAACCATAAAACTCGAGAAACCACAAATTAAAAAGAATCATTAAAAAATTTTGCTACTTATAATAAAAGGAGGAGAATTGACGCTGTAGATTTTTGTGATAATATAAGATTAAATTTGGCTTACTGGTGATATGGGAATACTAAACTCCACAGATTAGAAATACAAAGGATGACTGAGATCTGAGACTGACTGTGGTCAGCCCTAACATGAGTCAGACACTGCTTGTGGAGTCCTTGATTTTCCTTGTTTACCTGTGCAGTGGCTGGTCATATTCCCTAGAGAAGTACAGATTCCCTCTGCTGGCACTCCAGAGCTTCCTAACCAGCAGCCTGGCAGAGAAGGAGAAGAAAGGGAGTGGAAAGGACTGCTGTATCTTTTCTCCACAGCAGATACATGAAGTCTTCAAAACAAGTTCAAGCTGCTTCCTGATCCAGGGCTACTTGAAGCTATTTGTTCATAGGAGTTTCCACGTTGCATTTTTCTTAGATAATCTAGGCGCAGTTAAGCATCTCAGTATTCCCCAACGTGCTGCAAACTCCACAGGTTAGTTCTACATAAGGCAAAAACTAGAGGGTTTGGATATGGGCCTTAGTAAATGAACAATCATGGATCTTTGCAAGCTTTTGATACAACAGACCCCATTCACTTTATCTTGTACTCTCTGGATAGAATAGGATATCCATTATTCCAAAATGCATGGCCTGCTAAAATACCTAGCCAAGTTATAACTAGATTCCACATCTTATTAAACCAGAGTTTTCATGATTTTTACAATCATCAGTGTCAGTCCTTCTGTCGCATAAAATGTGACCACTTCATTAGACCTTTCATCTGGCAGAAGGGCTCATTCCCCACCTTGCCTTAACTGTGGCCACATGCCAGAACATGCTTATACTGGGTTAAAAGTGATCCATATATGAATTCCCACAAAGTTTTTGTTCATTGTTTCCCTGACTTTAAATCTAGGACACAGCATAAGCCAGCTATGCAAGTCATTGTCTCGTGAATCAGCTTCTCACAAAGCAAGGGAAAAAACCCAACCTCTCTAACAAACTGCCAGTACTGTTACAAGGTGATTGCCTAGAGAGAAGCCATCAGAATCGCCACATGCATGAACTTGTTCAGGCTAGTAAATGCTGAAATTTGCCTTTGTTTAAATCATCTACAGAATCTAGAATTAAGTGAAATGAATACACTTCAGAATATTTAAAAAACGAGGCATTTTATTTTTCACATAACATCCTGACTCTTATTGACAGTCTAGTCATGATCTCCCTTTCAAGCTGATTCCTTGTCTCTCTGATGTGATGGACAAGGAATTCAAAAGATCATAAGTACGTGTAGGTTTTCAAACAATTTGTTGATTGCCAGAAGAAAAATAAAAACCTAAACCACACCACCACAGGTTATAGATTAGAAGGACAGAAAGCTGATACACAGAATCATAGAATAGTTAGGGTTGGAAAGGACCTTAAGATCAGCTAGTTCCAACCCCCCTGCATGGGCAGGGACACCTCGCACTAAACCATGTCACCCAAGGCTCTGTCCAACCTGGCCTTGAACACCGCCAGGGATGCAGCATTCACAACTTCCCTGGGCAACCCATTCCAGTGCCTCACCACCCTCATAGGAAAGGACTTCTTCCTTATATGCAATCTAAACTTCCCCTGTTTGAGTTTTAACCCATTACCCCTTGTTCTATCACTACAGTCCCTAATGAAGAGTCCCTCCCCAGCATCTCTATAGTCCCCCTTCAGACACTGGAAGGCTGCTATGAGGTCTCCATGCAGCCTTCTCTTCTCCAGGCTGAACAGCCCCAACTTTCTCAGCCTATCTTCATATGGGAGGTTTTGCCTACATATAAAACAATAATGGAAAAATATGAAGAGAACAAAAGTGCTCAGCAGCGACAGGGGCTTTGATAATTTGGTCTAGTGTTGCAGTGGACAGATTTTTCTCCCCACAATACTAAAAGCCAGCTGATGCTCCTCACGAAGGGTATCTTCTTGCGCGCCAGCCAGCTCCGCGGGACCGAGCTCACCCTGGAGCGCTCAGCTTCGCTAACTCCAGCCCGGCCGGTGACTCCGTCCGGTTTGACCGCCGCTGTGGAGAGCGCATACCCCAGTTTATGGCCTCCTCTCCCCAGCCTCCTGCCGGTACCTTCTCCCGTGGGTCAAGGCGGGCACCGCTGGAGGCGGCAGCCGGTGGCAGGCGCGGGTGCGGCGGGAAGCCAGGGCCGGCAGGCGGCCGGCGCCAGCGAGGCCACCCCGAGGTGACCCAGCGAGAGGCGGGAAGCAGCGCGGAGCAGGCCGGCCAGGACCAGCCAAACGCGCAGCCCGCAAACCCCCGTTAGCCTGCGGGCCGGGGCCCGGGCCGGGCCTGGGCGGGCGGGGCTCGGCGGGGCGGGGCTCAGCAGCCGGCCAGGAGCCGGGTGCGGGCAAGGCGCAGGCGCGGTGGAGGCCGCTCGCATCCCATCAGTCTCTGCGGGCGGTGGGACGCGGTGCTGGGTTGAGCATGTCGGAGAAGAAGCAGCCGGTTGACCTGGGGCTCCTGGAGGAGGACGACGAGTTTGAGGAGTTCCCGGCCGAAGGTGCCGGGAGGGGCGGGGACGGAAAAAGAGGCGGCAGGGCTGGGGGTGAGGGCGGTGCTGCCGGTAGGCCGCGGCCTGTGTTGGGCCGGTCGGCAGAGGCGGGAAAGGAGCGTTGGGCCTGGGGCGGGTGGGAATGGCGGCAGGGCCTGGGTGCGATTGTCTGCGGTGCCGTGCCCGTGAGCAGCCCTCAGAGCCTCTGCGGCGGTGTGCGTTCCCCGCATACCCCGCTTCAGCCGTACGGAAGCAGCTTTGCTCTGCTTCGCGAGTTCCGCCCCCCCCCCGCCGTCCCGGTCCTAAGTGCGGGGCTGCGGCGCCCCGGAGTCGGATTCAAGCTCGAGCGTGTAGACGGTGCCCAGCGGGTGGGCTTCACGGTGCTAGGCATGCCGCGTCCGAAGTGCTGTGTCACTGTGCGGGAGAGCTGGATTCGAGTGCGGGGGGTGCGCTGCTCCTCGGCGCTCCAGATGGGAGTCGCTGGGGATAGGAGGGCGAGGGCTGGGAACCGAGTGTGACGGGGGAAACGTGTGAAAAGGAAGTAATGTGCTGTGGAGTTAGCGTGAATCGCTTTGTGTTTTGAAGCACAAATATGTATGTGGTGATTTGCTTTGCGCAGGTACAGATATATTTAATGATGAAATTAAATCCGGACTTAGATAAAATATTTCATGTCATTCTATAGCTACAATTTTAAAAAGATCCCTATAAGGGCATGATTGTTTGCTAGGTCCTTAATTCTGGAAACTGTCTCAAGCTGTGGATAATAAAAAATGACCTAAAATATGATGGATGCAATGTCAAGGTTGCTTTGCTTTTTCTGCGGCCTCACAAGCCTTATGTGTTCTGACTCTTTTAGTACCAGTAAAAATAATGTTTTTGTGCTTCCTGACAGATAAAGTTCTTAATATAGTTGAGATGATAGCTAAGCTAAACTGAGATTAGCCCTTCTTTTCCATATGTTTACTAAACAGGTAAAAAATGTTTATCTTATTTAATGTAAATTAAGTATTTGCAGTGGGATGAAACAGCCTGCTTCTGAACCAACCTTGGATTGGTCAGAGTACTGAATTGCTGTTACAGACGGTGAAGTTAATTCTACTTGACTCTAACTGTACTACTAAAACCAGGTACTGTACAAACTTTCTGGGCAGAGGAGAAGTTTATTAAAGAGTGACCACCATCAGGCTTTTTGCAGATCTCTCCTGCAAAAAAGCTACCTAAAGAGGCCCATTTAAATCCTCAAGTGAAGTGATAGTTTTGAGATGTTACAATGAATGTGCAGGCCACTTTGAATGTTGTCTTCAGTGCTTAGGAAAGAATCATGATAACTATGCCAAATAGGTTTTGGCATGCCAAACCCATGCCAAATAGTTTTGTTCCTCAAATTAAAACACTGCTTTCTATGCAGTAGCAAACCTTGTATTCTATTACCCAGCTTTTATTCAAAGAAAATTAGATAATGCAGACTTGCATTAAAGGATGAAAACACTGGCTCTTGGGGCATTTCTTTGACTTTAAAATTTTCTTCAAACAGTTTATCAAATCAACTTTGCATATCAGAAGCAGACATGTCCTGTTTTTATAGGACACTTTATTTTAAGCATAGCGTAAGTACAGTGTGATAGATTCAAGTCTATGTGAATTGGTCACTTAAGAACTTTTTGTACAGTGCTTTTCACAATGTAAAATGCAATGTATGCAATTATAGGCTTTTCTGGTTTGTTTTTTGTTTGTGTGTGTGTTTTTTGTGGGTTTTTTTTGGTGTTTTTTGTTTGTTTTCCCAAATGCAAAATATGTCAGTGTGTGATCAGTATATATATATATTTTTTAAGGAGTCCAGCCATGACAAGTTTATCAAAATTGATTTTGTAATTTTGGTGTATATGGCAGTAGTGCTTAATGGTAGCAGGCTCTTGAATGCTTCTGACACTTTCAGTCCCAGATAATGCTATGTAGTTTTTGACTTCTATTTAGTCACAGGCATGTAATGTAACTGGGAAGAACAGTATGCAATTCTGGGATATAGTGTCAACATACAGATACTGTAGAATCTTGCGCTATAGCAATGAGAATATAATTTAGGCTTTACTTTCATTGTCCCCTATACTCCCCAGTGAGGAAGGTAACATGGGCCTTTTTGACTCTTCTTTGCTCAGTGTGTGATTTGGAGCATATTTTTGCAGACTCCTCATCTGACCTTTTGTGATTGAAGCTGCTGCTGTGCCAGATGCTATTTTCTTGGATTTATATTCTTTTCAATTTGTAGATCTGAGGTACTTGTGTGTTAGTAGTTTGATTTGGTACTCACTTTAAACAGTTGAGCTTTGCTTTTTGTATCTTTGAAATCCAGATAAATGGTGAGTGACAAAGTTTTTTTATTTTGGCAGAAGTAATCTATTAAGTACAAACAAGCGGAACTTACTGCAGATAGTGATAGTTCTAAAATAAAAGTCTTTGCCTTTGAGCATCTAGCAGAACAACCAAATTCAAATAATACATTTTTATACTGTATACTTTCTTCACCTTCTCTTCTTTTTCAATTCCTTCACTTGCTGTCCTTAGACCTGAAAGATTTCTATGCTGCTTCATCTTTTCCCATTGTCCAGTTTGAGTAGGGAAGTTTAATTGTAATGCTTTGCATGTGTGTGTGTCTAATCAGTTACAAATGGGTTTTCCTGTCCTGGTGAATCTCAAATACTAATTTTATTGCCTGTCATTAGAAAAAGGAGGAGAAAATGCAAGGACCTGCCTTCATTCTTAGAAAGTCAGTAGTTCACAGTGAAATAGTGTTTAATCTTTTAGCCTGCTAGTTCTCCCTTACCCTTGATGTTTAATGTTACTTTGGGCCTTAGTCCTCAAAGCTTTCTCTGGATGGGCAGCAGGTGGCTTACTGAATTGTAAGGGAAGAAGAGTGTTATCTCTTTAAATATATTAACAGGCATTCAGAAATACAAGGTTACAAGTATCAAAATTAGGGGGGTGCTTATTTTGGTAACATTGGGAAAACTTGGTGTCTTTCAGTAGGAGAAAAGTGAGAACCTGTTCACCAGTGGAGTAAACCAGCTGGTATTTATACAGTAATTCTGAGGCTTTCTGAGTTTTTTGTTATTCTTCTAAAGTAACTAATTATTTTCATATTATTTTTTTTTAATAATGAATCATTAAGTGGGTGGTAATTTGCCAATAGGGATGTGCCAGATTATATTATAGGAAAAATAACAGTTTAGCAAATACTTGGTGTCTTTCCTCTGTAAGGAAAGAGCTTCTGCTGTCTTGCAAACCTAGAAGTAGCTGGTTCCAGGTAGCAACTACTGCTTGCAGATGCCCGCCTCAATTTGCTTTTGCTTCTGCATCACAAATATGTTTTTGGCATTTATCCGTAGACTGACTGCATGTGATCTGAGTGAAGTGAGAATCTGTGTGTATGTGTGTTGGCAGAAACAGTTGATACATATTTACTTCCTTAATCGGACAAAAGTGCATAAATACAAACCTGGAATTGCACACCTTTGTTGAGCTTTTAGGAGTCAAGTACTCAACATTACTTTTTACAGTGCTACAGCTTGTCCATTTGTGTGCAAAATGTCTTATGAATGTGTAATCCTGAAAGCTATGCCTGAGGTGTGTAATGATTTTTTTTTCAACCAAGTGGCATTTTTTTATTAAAGAAATTGTGAGGTGTGTTTCAGATCTTTGTCTTATAAACACATAAATATGATCCAGATTTTTCTGTTAAAGTTAACAGCAGAAGTCTGCCTTACCCAAAGGCTGAGCTAATCCATCAGTAAGACACAGTACCAAAGCAGTGGAGCATACAATATTTAGACCACTTTTCCTGTCTTTAGACTGGACCGGTTTAGATGAAGATGAAGATGCGCATGTCTGGGAAGACAACTGGGATGATGACAATGTAGAAGATGATTTCTCCAATCAGCTAAGGTAACTTTAACGTTCTGTTCTAGAAGATAGGTGAAATGTTAAAAATGGCATATCTGTTTGAAATCTGCTTACTTAAAAAAGAGATCTGAAACTGAAATAAATGAAAGCTCTGCTTTGTGCTTTTTTTATCTAAAGCCTTTCAGAACCAGACTTAAGGGATTGCAGCACAGTGAAGCATTTCATCTTTTAATCATTGTACTGTGAGCCCTGAAATATGCCTTATGTCATTGACGTGTTCAGGCTTCTTCTATGTTATGCAACTCAAACAGTACAAAGAGTCTCTGCAGATTGTGATGCAGTTGACACTTCTTTTCAATTTAACATGAATAAATCCTTTTCTAAGGACTTTTCTACATATGTGTGAAAACTCAATTGTCCCGGAAAGACTAATGGCAAGGGATCCAAGATTCTCTTCTGTGCTACATGGTGTGTGAAGTATGTTGTTACAGAGCAACAGCAGCAAAGTAATTGTTCATCACATACTTTTAAGAAAGTGATAATAATTTGGGTACCTCTAATCCAGTTGTTTAATCCTCTTTGTCACTTATAGTTTCAGTTAATCCTTTACTGAGGCATAATTATAACTTGAATTGTTTCAGGCATCAGTACAAAGTCACATTTTATAATAATCCATCAATATGTTGCATGAGGAGCGACCTATCTGTAATACAGCCTGATTAAACAGTTCCTAGGTTGATCTCCCTTAAAAAAAAACCCCTCTGTTAAAAGCAATCCTTTATGTAGAAAATACAAAAATAGTCTTTGGTGTAGTGTTTCTTACAAGGTTGAAAGGCAATTTCATACTGGAAAACAAATTGATATGTAGTGAAATACACTGTCAAGGGATGGTGTAACTCTTGATGAGCCTGGTTGATCTTGACAGACCTTCAGTAACTGTACCTTAATTGTAGCCTATAGTACTGGTGACTGTATGCTAATGTTGCAGTGATAGTTTGCAGTGTTTCTTGCTTGCAGTGTGGTTTTCTTTCATCTTTAGAAAGAAAATGCTGCAGTCTTTCTAAAATTCCACTGCTAAGTATATAAACCAACCTGAAATATTTTTATAGGTTTTGACTATGGTATCCAGATACACTTATACTAAGGCTAGAGATAAAATGGGATGCTTTTCTGGCTGATGTGTTAGGAGGTATTTTTGTTTAAAACAAGGAAGAAGTTAAAATAATTTTGGGAGCACATGCATTTAAATCACTCAGATTAGTGAGCTTGTTTGGTTTAATAAAACCTTGAGAATAACTATGTAAGATGCAATTTTATGTCCTCCAATGCAGCTAAAGTTGTTGCAGGCTCACAGGTGCTGCATTGTGCTGTATTTGTACTCCAGCTGTGGTGGGTCAGAGAGCAGTAACTGTGATTAAAACAAGCATTTGAATTTTTAAGTTGGGAAGTCACTTACAGTGATCTAAGATACTAAGCTGAAGAACTTGGAGAGTAAGTAAAGTTAAGGTTGTTGGTATGAACCGAAAAGCAGTATTGCATGTTCGTATTCTAAAATGAGTGCATATTGTGCAATATATTTAATAAAAAAATCATATGTCTGACAGTATTTTTATTTATACGTTTTAACTTGCCTGTCTTTTTTTCTATACAGAGCTGAGTTAGAAAAACATGGGTACAAGATGGAAATCTCATAGTTTTTGCTGAACATGGAGTGGTTTAACATTGAACTGTGGATAGACTACATGGAGAAAAGAAGAAAAGGTGGAGAATGAGAAGACACAATTCATTATCTGCTTGGATTTATTATTGTTTTATATAAAAATAAAGTTTTTAATCTTAGCATAGTGATATGTTCAGCCCCTAATAACCTGGTAACTTGTATTTCAGTTTGAAATGACTTGTGTGACAGAATTCATGGACTTGCCTAGAATTCTACTAATGATCTGTCGGTGGTTGATGCTTTTGTGCCAGTTTCCGTCATGGGGAGCTAGAGAAGCACCGATATGAAGACTAGTGAATGCTTGTGGTAGGGGATGTGAAGATATCATAAAGAAATAAAATACTCATGTATTCCAGTTTAGGTGCAGCAGCAGTGGAAAGAAGTTTTGGGGAGGGATAAAGCTTACTTTGTTTCAAGATTTTCTTTCATAATGACTTGGGGGGTTTTTTTGTTGGTTTTATTTTTTTTTTTTTTTGTTAGTAATTTCATGTGAGAACCAGTTTAATAGGCTCAGAAGCTAAAACACACTTCAAGGTGCATCTTACAACAGCAGAAATCCGAACTCCCTAATCTTGTCCTGTCATTTCTCAAGCCTGTTAGAGATGAGACCTCTCTGGAGGTGGAAGAAGTTCTGTTCTCATGCTTGTTTAAGCCTAGGAATCTCTGCTGAAATTGCCTCCAATTTGCCTTTTACAGCAGTTTCTATATCACACAGATATGCCTGCTGAGAACGGAAATCGAACTTCCAACTCATTTCATGGAGGCCAACAAATAGTTGCCAAATAGGTACAGCAGTAGTGACTGGATTCGATTACTCTTTGAACTAGAAAACAGAAGGTGAAAATTGCGAAACCTATTACCAGTTCTATGAAGCCTCCCCAAAGGAACTGTTAAAGCTGATGTGTGCCAAGGCATAGGGAGATGTGGTGATTCTGGAAGTGTAGGCCATGATTGCAAATTATTAATTATTTCCTTTTTTTAATAAGGGATCGCATAGACCTATATACTCATGGAATTTGAATTAGCTGCTTGCTTTCTCAGCACTTCCCTGTAGGAAAGCAGAGATGTTATTTAAAGTGAGCTTTCAGAATGAAAGTGTTAGTTGATGGACCTGCAGTAATGGTATTAAATGCCTTGTTAACTAAATAACCGAGTGTTTTATGTTATACTTGTATTTATTAATGCAGACTGCTAGGAAACTTCCCGCTCCCCAAATTATGTAGGTGGTGCTCTATTTATGGTAGAGGCAAGATTCACTGTGCTCCTTACTGCTTTCTGATGATGGCTCTGTAAAGACTGACCTCCCATTGTCACCCGAGTTTTTTTGCAAAGCATAATGTTCCAGGCCATGTTGGATGCCTTCATTTCTGTGCTGCTTGGGAAAAGAAAGGGAGGCTGTTTCAGGCAGATTTTCCCTATGCTCAAGAAAGTGACTTGTTCAGATTGAAATGTGTGGCTCCTGCAAATTCCTCAAAATCATATTTTGACAAGTAACAAACGAGAACTGTGTATTGAGCATCAAGTAACAATGGAAACATCTTTGAGTTAGGTGTGGGAGCTTAAGAAGTATGTTCAATACAGTTCTGGGATTGTTGATGTTATCAACACATCAGTATTGGGAAGGTGAGTAATGAGACTGACCAAAAGAAGATGACAGAATTATGAAGATGTCTAATGCAATCTTTGGGTAGGGACAGTTGCTTTCAATTATGGGGTTTTGGAAACCTGGCTAAAACAGCCCAGTTGGTAGCAGCAGGATGAAACCACAGAGGTGGAAAAACATCTTTCCCTCAGGAAATCTTATTTTTTTTGCTGAGCCACAGTTGTCTTCTGCTAGTTATCTTTTTGCTTCCTTCACAAAAGCAGAACTGAAAGGTTGAACCACCTGGGTTGAGGTAGCTTTGGTGGCTCTGTGCTCTTGCAATAACAATCTTCAGCTGCTAGCACATGACCTGAAACCCCAGCTGGGGAAGAAAAAGAGTGCAGTGTGCTCTGCAGGTCTGTTTGTGCTACGGTCATGTAATGCTTTCTGCAGAAGGGAATTTGTTGCAGAGGAGTAAACAAGTCGTGTGGAGAGCTGTGAGAATGTAGCTTATAGCGAAGTCAAGCGTTTCGTGGCAGCTGATGGCCTGGATAATTACCACTGGAGTCTTAATTTTTTTGCCCTCAAGTTTATTGCATGGTCAAATGGTTCCTCTTAAACTTTCTAGTATAGTAATTACTTGGGAACCTTTCTACTTCAGTTTGGCTGTTTTATTTCTTTCTGAAAGTTTTAAACCTCAGCTAGTTTTGAGACAAGGTAAAGACTTTTTTGCCCCCTTTTTCCCCCCATTTTTGACAGCTTTTGTGTTCTGAAGGGAAGGTGATGTGGTTGGCCAGCCCATCACGTTAGCAATTCAGCCTACTTTGCCTGCTATACAACTTTAAAAGGAGCTAATCTTCCCATGTGCTTGGAGGTTTGAGTTTTTTTAGGTTGGCCATGCTAAGAGAGGTTTTCTTTGGAGGTGTTTCCTGGAGATGTCCCAATGATCCCTGTTAGCTGAGGGAGATAAGAATGCTTTGGGGGTGTGAGGGAGGGCATGCTGAGAGAAGACAGGGAAGAGGGAAGGAGGATCTGCAGCCTGGCAAGGGTGGTGGAGCAAGGGAGGTTTGGCAATGATCTGAGCAGAGGAGTGCTTGGTCTGTCTAGTTGAGAAAGTAGGACAACATGCAGAGATGCTTGTGTGTGGCTACTGTCTGGGCTGTCTGGGTAGTCTTTGTTCCCCATTGTGGGAAGGAGATTCAGGTCAGAAAGAGGTTGATGTTGCCCTGTGTTTAGGTACCTAACCTCCTCACCAGCCCACCCCTCAGCTGAGCCGTGAGACTGGGGCAGTGTCATCAGCCTGAGCCATCCGGGGTATGTGGCATGTGCCTACAGCTGTCCTCTGTGTGAAGACTGAGGTGGTGGTTTGCAGTATGGGGAAGGTTGACTCACTCTGGCCTAGATGCTGTGGATGTCCCAAGGGAAAGCACTCCAGCTGCCTCAGAGGAAAGCTCCAAATGGTCCCTAGTTGCCACCCAGTTCGGTGCTCTCCCTTTACATTGATCCTTAAGAAGCTGTACACACTTAAGAAGAAATGCAAGTCACAGATAAGCACACAAAATGGTGAGCAGCCTGAATTAAGGCTGTCTGGAAAGCCTTTGTGTCCCCTCTTTTGTCTAAGAAAAGCCCTTGCTCTTTCCCATTGAGCCCCTGCCTCCCTCTGCTAGCTTGCACAACAGCACCAGCAGTTTCCCAAGATACTTCCTGTGCCTGAGTCACAATGTGTCCAGCTCTCTACCTGCTACACCATGTCCACATCCTGCTGTACAGAATGCGAGTTTGGGTCTCTGTGATCACATCAGCCTGCGTGCTTTGCAAATGCTCTAACACATTTTCCACCATCGCTGGGAGACAGGGAAGTGTTTTCCCCTCTTTGAAGTGTGTGCTAGATTTAAGTGCTGGGTGTGAGACCCCAGGACCTCATGTTTCACTGGATTCGGTACTGTGTAAAAAGCTCTGCACGTTCAAATGTTTCTTTAGCTTCAGTTGCTGCTGTGCATATTCAGCATTTCTGCCTATCAGGATTTATGGGGTATCAAGTCAGCCACCCAGAAAAGGAGGAACACGCATTACAACTTTAGCAGCTTTTGTATGGAATGAGGCAAGGACTCCACAAGTCGCTACCTTCCCCTGCTAGCTTTTTCTTGGACCTTATTTTTTTCTTGCCCTGTTTTTTCTTGAGCACTAACAAGGACTAATAAGTCCCCTGAGAGAGGGGGTGAGTATAGGAAAATATATGATCATAAAATTAAAGACTATGAGAATACATATGTATGGAAAAAGGAATGTATATGGCACGGAATTACAGTTCCAGCATTTCCTATCTTTTAAGTGTCTGACTTTACAGCCCGAATAATAATCTTTTAATGCAGGTATGATTTTGTGTTTGCATAATAATACAGCTGAATTTGATTTAATTCCAAGGCATGCAGGGAAGTAAGAAGACTGATGCCCAGAAAGTTTTGTGATGGAGTTTAACTGAAGAATGAATGTTATGTAACATTTCAAACACACCGAGATCCTTCAAGATGAAGTGTGGGATATAAATGTAAAATATTTGCAAACTACAATTTAGCAACCGTTTTAAAATCACAGTCAGAATTGGAACCTCTTACATGTGGTGGGTGAGATCCTTTGTCAACTGAGAGCTAAGGGCAGTGAATGTGAGATTCATTAAGTAATTACATAGGAACATTAATTTCAAATTAATTTCAACAGTTGTTTTAGACATTAGCAACCAAATTAAGAGACCAAAGGGAAACAGTAATGCAGCTTAATACTTTTAATAAATGAAAGCATTTGAAGTGATTTGCATAAATCAGATGGTAAACCCTCATTTAATGGGCTTCCAAATGCTCCCCGCCTCCCCTTCCCGTTCACCTTTGCACATTTCCAGGATGTGGCCATGCTTCACATCTCCTCTGCTCTCATTACATCATGCTTTTCTCCAATCCTTCCTACATTGGCTTCATAATAAACAGTCAGGCTTTCTGGAATTTGTTAGCGTGAGCTGGAACGTTTTAATGCTTCTGAATCTGCAGCGCTGGGAGGCATGGGGAGGGAACGGAGCCACCATTGACAAGGCTCCCAGGAAAATAAATGGTGGAGAATAAAAAAAGCAGATTAGGGTATTGGGGGATGCTTGCCTACAGGCAGGGCAGGGAGACGAAAACCAGCCCATCAGCAAGTGAATGGGTCACATGTAATGGATAATGACCAGCTCTTTTCATCTTTTCTGCAGTGAGCTCAGGGCTCTTAATGAGAAGGAACAGGCACTGGTCTGGATTTACATTGCACCTGATGGAGGCACGGCAGCTCTGTGACCCGCCATGGATATGAAACCAGCCCTGACGATACTACAGCCACCAGCGTTGGGGTCCTCTAGCCAGGAGCAAAATGAAAGCGCTTCCTTCCCCAGGGAGCTGATGATCTGTGAGATGTAAAAGGCAAGATAGGGCTGATGGGAAAAGTAGGTGGTGGGCTGTGTTTCCTAAACCACCTTTTCTACCTGAAGGTTAAGATAGGAAAGGATGAAAA